ACACACACACACACACACACACACACACACACACACACACGCACACAATAGACCCCCCAGTCCTTTTTTCCATCGCTCTAATCCTCTCCGAAACAAAAACATTAACAAAAATCGATCTTGGGGACACAGTGGTTCATCGATTTTAATGCAGCCTCCGCTGATTGAATTCACCCGGGCCTAGGGAGGAAAAGGCCAACTGCTTGTGTGGGGGAAATTTATTTACAGAAATCTATCACGGTCACTGCAGATTGGAATCACAAATAAATCCCACCCAAGCATCAAAGTCTCCTTATCTTGTGTGTATGTGTGTGTGTTTAAGGGGTGGTGGGGGAGGGGTAGAGAGAAAGAAGAAGGATGAGAGGGAGAGGGACGGGGGGAGAGGGGGTGAAAAGAGGGTGAGGGTGAGGAGCGGGGGTGGAGTGGGGAATGGGAAGTGAAATGGGAGGGAGGAGTGGAGTTGGAGGAGGAAGGAGGAGGGAGTTGGAAGGGGGAGTGAAGTTGGAGGAGGAAGGAGTGGGGAGTGGGATGGGGGGTGGAGTTGGAAGATGATTAGAATGGGGTTGGGGAGTGGAAAGGGAGGAGAGGTAAGTGAGAGGAGAGTGTGGTACATCATAACATCCTGGTCATATGACAATTACCTCAGTCACTTTAATTGCTTTTCTGAGAAACTATAACGTCATGGCTTCAACAAAAAGTGGAAGCAGTCCAGCACTCGCACGAACACGCACAAAGAGAACACGCACAAAGAGAACACGCACAAAGAGAACACGCACAAAGAGAACACGCACAAAGAGAACATGCACAAAGAGAACATGCAAAAAGAGAACACGCAAACAGCGATTTTGTTTTCTTACTAATGTATTATTCTTTGTTTTTTAAAAACACATACATACAAAATTCGTACCGAACGAAAAGAATTCAGCGCCTCGCAGATTTCGCTGGGTTATGTGTGTGCAAGACCAGACTGTACGATTTCATCTTCAGAACACGTATTCGAAACAAAAACTCTGCTGCCAAGAAATACGAAAGAAACAGCCCTTTTTTTCATAGCCATATCAATAGGATCGTGGTACCCAAGCACCCTGTCGCAAACATTTTTTAATTAAAAGAATATAATCAGCCTCCAAAAAATACTAAGTAAATAATTGAATAAATAAAGTATTGACCAAAAAAATTGTGAAATGATATGGGTTTAACGCCCCTGTTGACACAATTAAATAAAGTATTGAATAAAAAAATTTAATTAATAATTTAATAAATGAATAGATAGAAAAAGAAAGAAAGAAAGAAAGAAAGAAAGAAAGAAAGAAAGAAAGAAAGAAAGAAAGTGTGAAATACTCTCACTTTTTCTCCGGCGACGGCCATCATGATGACAGAGAAGGCGAAGTCTGCGGTGGGCTCCACCTGCCCTACCACCACCATGCAAACGGGACTGAAGACGGGCATGGACGGGGGCGTGGCTAGCATCTCTTTGTTACAGAGGGCACAGTAGAGGTTCTTGAACAGTAGGCCTGTGTGTCCCATCTGAAGGGAGGTGGAGGGGGGTGGAG